TTGGGCCGGAGTCCCTGGACCAGGGGCTGTGGGGTGGCGACGGCAGCGAGCCACGGTGGGGTGAGGTGGGAAGAGGCTTTGCTGAGGTTACGAAGGGGCCCTGGAGCCCCCTGACCCTCGGCCGGGTGGGGCGGGGAGCCCCGGCCCCAGCCCCAGCGGCCACCCGGTCCCGCTCCGGGCTGAGGCCTGCTGGGCCGTCAGCTGCCGGCACGGTTCGGGCCTGATCTCCCCGAGACGGTAAGGGCTGGGCTGGTGCTCCCTGAGGGATCTGCACCCCACGGCAGGGATCGGGGCCGGGGCCGCGGGGAACCTCTGTCCTGCGAGGGCTGACAGGGTGTGCGGGTCCGTCCTGCGCATCCCAGGGGCAAGGTGGTCGGGATTTGGGCTGCCGGAGCAGCTGGAGTCGGGGCTCCCTGTCATCTGTAGCCCATTTTTTGTGACTCCGTTTCCCGTGGCTGGGATGGGTGGTGTTTGCCCGTGTAGAAGGTCCCATCTCGCGGCTGAGTTTGAGTCCCCCTCCCCACACCACGAGAGTAAGACTGAAAGCGTCGTCTTTGTCCAAATTGCTTCTCATCATAAAACTAACCCGTTCTGCTCCTGTCTCCATCCCATCATTGGTTTTGGACTTTTGCTTATGTATTCGTTTTATGATATTGTAACCCCTGCAGCCCTCGCTGTGTTTCCTTCCTTGAGTATCTGTGGTCTCCTCTCCACAGAGGAGGAGACCTTGCGTTTCCTCTTGGTCCTTCCCCAAGAGGAAATGCACAAAGCGTGTGTCGGAAGAAGCGGTGGTTGAGAAACAAATGCAAAGAGATGAAACAAGTTCTGTGATGAGGCAGAGGTTGGGCTAACACCTGGACCCCCCCTGGTCCAGGACACTGCCCTGGCTGCATCTCTGGTCTTTATGTATCATCTGTATTAATGGACTAGTCAGTGTTTGCCTTTTTACACCGCTGCTCTGGAGTTTTTCATTGTTTTCATGTTATAAGTTCTTTTAAAAAAGAGCTCCATCATTATGATGCTGGTCATTGTGAGTTGTGTGGTGAATTTTTGGAAGAGAGGCACGCGTGTCCTTCATTTAAATTCCTCGCGTGTTGCTCCTCTCATCCTTGTACCTGGAAGTTTTGCTGTAACTTACGCGCAGGAACGAACCAAACGCCGTAACACCCTGGGCGGGTGATGAGACTGCATTTGTTCTGTAGATGGGGAACTTGAAAGGCAGAGAAGTTAAATAACTTTCTACAGTTATGTGACAAGTCTGTAGCAGACTCTGCGTGGTTCCTGGGACTTTGGATTCTTTTTTCCTTGATCTGCCTACTAGACAGCGCTGCTCTGCTGCAGAAAAGGCTGCTGATGCTTCTGGGTAGTATTTTCTATGTAAATGCAGCTAATAATATTTTAAGGAGTTGGAGTTTGGTGGTGTATGTTAGGGAGCCAGTGCCTGAACTTGCCGTAGTGTGGAGAGCAGTTGCTGCAGTGTTGCCAGGGTGGCTGGTGCTGAACAAATGCCTTCAGATTTTCTAGGATTAAAAAGGTGAACTGGGTGACTCTAACAGAATTCATAAATTCACGCTAGCACCTGGTTTCCTTAACAGTGGTCTGCTGCACTGCCTCTTGTTATTAAAAGTTGCGTTTATAGGAGCATAATGCAAATTACCTCCAACCTCATGGAACGTTTCTGGCTCTGCAGTGTCCCATTGCGGGACTGCAGGCTGAGAGCAGAGCTCTGGAGAGCGTGGGGTAGGGGTCACTCCTACAGCAGGGTTGGGCCCTAGGTTCGGATGCCAGGAAAAACAGCCCCTCTAATGCGTTAGCAACTTGCATTTGTGTTAAATATTACATCCTGGGCTCTGAGAGAGCTATAAAATTAAATGATCTTCATAGCTTCCACCTGGAAGAGGCTGTGTCCCGGCATCCTCCAAGCCCCCGTGCTGCCTGGACTGGGGGCTGCGGCTCTGGACTGCCATCTATTGAATTGCTCCAGCTTTGTCTTTGCAGGAGTTGTCCTTTTCAGAGGAATGCAGTTCAGGCTTAACACCCTAAAAACAAGGCACAGTAAGTTTGTTAGGAGAGCTCAGTGCTTCAGCACGACCTGAGGCTGGTCTTCACTAGATAGAAATAATTAAACTAGCTGGGTGTTGTCTTTGTTATCTCCTGCACCAGCCTCTCTGTCCAGATGGGAAGTGCATCTTTAGTGGTGAAAACAAACATAATGCCACTTTCTGAAGCCTTGCAGTGTCCTTAGGAGTATATTATCCGGGGATCGGGAGGATATTGTTTGGTGAGGAGGACTTGGTGAGATAATGGTGCAAGCTGGGATGGATTTGTTTGCTTTCTGTCTCCTGAGAAATGAATGTTGATTTCTGAGAAAGGAAGATAGAGGATTTCTTCTTCTCCACTGCCTCTATTTTACCTCTTTTTTGCATCTCCCAGGAGCCTCTGAGGAGGTGGCTGCTCCCCTCCAGCAGAGCTTCATGATCCCCAAAAAGGAGATAAACATGGTTTCCGACATGGCCAAGTGGAAGCGCTCTCAGGTATGACTCTGGGGTCAGGGAACACTGGTAAGTGCTTATTATCTTTCAGTGGCAGCCAGGTCTGGTCTGGGAACAGCCACGAGGTAAAGCAGGTTTGGGCAAGTAATGGGAAATTAATTTATTTGTGTTTTAAAGCAGAAGAGTCACTGCCTGTTTGTAGGAAAATTACTTGGCAATGAGGCGTGGAGTCTGGCAGCCAAATACTCCAACAAAGGAGTGAGCCAGGGAGAGCCCAGAGGTTGAGGGAGACCAGAGGTGCTTACAAATTATTACTGCTCCCTCCCAACAAGCTAGACGAGAAGCTGGTAACTATTTCATCCTACCTAGCCTGTACATTATATCAAAACTGGATTTACCCAGCGCTGTTTGAACTCGGCTTGAACATGGTCCTGCTGCCTGGCCCTCTAATAGCACCAGGTTGGGTTGATTCCTGGGGCCTTTCCACCTTGCTGTACTGGAAAGGGCTCTAGAGCCAAGGCCTTCAATTTCCTGGATAATTTTTGTTTACAGTATGTGTGGAGCTGGTGGAACAGGCAGGTTCTCCCCTCTCTGCCTTTGAGGGATTGGTGTGTTAGCCCAGACTTGTCCCACCTCTTAGGAGCAAGTTCTCGCTTGATGACTGATCTGTGATGTCTTAAAAGAAGCTTAAGCTATAGCCAGGTCTCAAGCAAACCTCTGAGTGCAGCTTCCTTTGTTAAGTCTCCTGGGTTTAAGGACTTGCTCCTGGTCAGGACTTCTGTGCAAGAGGGGCCCAAGGAGGGAGAGGTGGCAGTGTGCTAGTCTGGTGTTCTCAAAGACTTAGAGCTGTGGAGCTGCACTGGATGTGATGCTTCAAAAGCAGCGAATTTAGAGAAGAGCGGTGAGGAGCCTGGGCTGTCTCCTACTTCTCCATCATGCAGGAGCATGGGAGAAGAGTAGAAGGAGGAAAGGGGGGATAAAGGCGCAGGTCTGGGAGAAGCAGCGCAGGGCAGGATGTCTAGGCACAACTGAGACTCTGCAGAGCCGAGGAATTTGAATGTGACCTGATAGGAGGCAGGGAGCTGAGGGAATGATTTTGGGGGCAATGCGAGCATTTTTAGGATTCTCCTCTCTGTAATTTTTACAGCGATGCAGAGTTCTCGGTGCAATCGCCATCTGCCTCTGATGTCTGCCAAAAATAGCAGTAACCTCACAGCAAGCCCTGCACCCTGGGTGTCTCCAAGAAAGCAGTGTTGTGTGTTGGGAAAGGTTCCCTTGGTGTGCAGGAGCGTTCCCATGCTGCGTTGCTTGTTCAAACGGACTGTGGGTATTCACTAACGCCCTGCTCTCTCGGGTGTGTTTGCAGGCATACGCAGATTACATGGGCTTCATCCTCACTCTGAATGAAGGTGTCAGGGGCAAGAAGCTGACCTGCGAATACAAAGTTTCAGAGGTAGGAGAAGAGTTTGGATCCCCTTGTTTCTCCTTTTCTGCTTTTTTTTTTCTTTTTTTTTTTTGGCTCCTAGGCGAGGAATGAGTTGGCAGCTTATCTGGGAGCTGGGGAAAATAAATGGGGTTGGGTTATGCTTGGAAATGCAAATGTCAGCCTGCAAGAAGAGTTTGGATCCCCTTGTTTCTCCTTTTCTGCTTTTTTTTTTCTTTTTTTTTTTGGCTCCTAGGCGAGGAATGAGTTGGCAGCTTATCTGGGAGCTGGGGAAAATAAATGGGGTTGGGTTATGCTTGGAAATGCAAATGTCAGCCTGCAATCCTCCCCGCAGGATGCAGAGGCTCTGTGTGTGCTTGCTGGATGGGAAATCAAACAAGTGGAAAGGGGCTGAAGGTGAAAAGGAAAATGCAGAAAGCAGAAAAGGAGAAGAGTTTGGATCCCCTTGTTTCTCCTTTTCTGCTTTTTTTTTTCTTTTTTTTTTTTGGCTCCTAGGCGAGGAATGAGTTGGCAGCTTATCTGGGAGCTGGGGAAAATAAATGGGGTTGGGTTATGCTTGGAAATGCAAATGTCAGCCTGCAATCCTCCCCGCAGGATGCAGAGGCTCTGTGTGTGCTTGCTGGATGGGAAATCAAACAAGTTACAAGTGGACAGAAGCTGGTGGTGAAAAGGAGGATGCAGAAAGGACATGTTTTGACCCTGTTTTCACAGTCTGGCGTCAACCAGTGATGTTTCGAAGATGTGGTATTCCCTCCTGGTTGCAGGCAAAAGGCTGAGATGCCTGTACCGTTCCTGTTCTCCCTCTGGCCTTTCTGTGGGACCTTGGGCAAGTCACTTGCCTCCCTGTCCCTGGGCTTCCTTGTTGCTCAGACTGTGTTAACAGCACCGATCTCCTCGGCCCGCACTGTAGCTGAGCTGTGCGAGGTCTGGTTTGACAGCGTGTGAGCTCAAGGCATGTCATTGAGTGGACCTGCCTCACCAAGGGTTGTGCTGAGAGCTACGGAGGGCTGCGGGGCGCGCAGGAGGGTTGGGCTGGGGAGGTAGGTTTAGCCTGTGGGGCAGGATCGCCCCTTCCAAGGTGTTAAGCAGAAAGGACCTATTTTTCCCCTTGCATTAATGTGACTGTCACCCGGTTCTGCCTGCTGCTGTGGCCAGTTTTAATGCCTGTTCACCTAATCAGGGCACGGTGAGATTGTTTGGAGCCAGAGGGGAAGGGAAGGCATCCTCAGTGGTGTTACTGCCTGGCCTCAGCCATGCTCAGTGCTGGCCTGAGGTCTCTGGGTGCTGCCGTGACCTGCAGAGCATATGTTGGCCACCAGCTTCACTTCTGTGTTGCACGCTGGATCCCCCTCCCTTGTTCTGCATTGCAATGAGGAGATTCTTGGGTACATTTTTACTGTTGAAACTTATCACAGCTGTGCAAGAAAGCTGGGAATAGTCTAAAAAGGTGTAGGCAGAATGGGAAGCAGACTGGGCCCTGTGTGTTTATAGTTTCATTTTGGTGTGGGAAGGCAGCCTAGGATGATCTTTAACCTAGTCATTTGTGTTTGAAGCAGGCATGTTGAGTCCAGCCTTCCCTTCTAGGAGCCAGTGTGTGAATGAGAAACTTGTTCATGGGGGGGATCAGGGATAATGAATCCCTCCCTAACAGGCTTTGTGTCCACCTTTTGTTCCTTCGATTCAGTAGAAACTGCTGCAAATGCTGGTCTTGCTTTCCACTGTTTGCATTTCACCTTTGAGTTTTGTCTTTGTCATGATCTCGCTCATTTCCAACCATTCACAGAGCAGTTCTAGGGAAACAAAGCATTAAAAATGAGCAAAACAAAGGGGGGAAAAAAACCCCCTCTTCCGCCAACCCCTCTGAGCTGTCAGCTGTCTAGGAACAGCTGTATCAGGGCTGTGTCCGTGCAGCAGATCCCTCTTGGAGTGAATGTTTTCCATCTGCAGTCCCAGTCCAGGTGACAAACAAGAGACACGATCCTGACCGCTTGGGAAGTGGCAGGGAACATGTCTCATTCCCCTCACGCTGAGGAGAGCAGAAGCCTGTGACTTGAGGCACAGGTGGAGCATCCCCAGGGTTGCCTTGTTGATGAGGTTGCCTGTTCACGCGGGTTCATTTGTAGATCAAACTGCTTATCTGTGCCTTTAAAGGCTCAGCCCCTCGTGGCCTCCGCTTGCATCTCTGCTCTGCTTTCTTTTTTGCCGTACCTGCTGCTGATGTGCTTTTGTGCCATCCCATCTTCCTCCCTGATCAAATGCTGGGGACGCGTTCCTTTGGCAGATGACCTCCTGGAATCCTTTCTGCTGAATGCATATCCTCTCCACGACTTACTGGTATTGCTTTGCCGTGGAAAAAAAAGAAAGTATGGTCTGCTCCGCTTTGAAAGAGACAGCTTAATGGTTTCCAGAGTAGTGTGTCGATATCAAACTGTCTGCTGGAGCGAGAGCTGGATCCTTTGGGGGCTGAGCCCCTTCTGAGACTTGCTGAGCTTGCTCTGCTCTTACTGAAAAATTGCGTGGAGCTGTCTGGGGTTTTGCTGGAGGCATCTGACAAGTAGTGATAGCTGAGCTGTTGTTTAGGACTCTGGCGTAGACACTATGTCTAGCACAAGGTTGTGTGACTGATAGGCTGTGACCTGCCTTCCCCTCCTGGAGGGAGTGCTTTTCATGGGAGGATCTGTGCAGTGACTGCTGGGGTGCAGCCTGGAGCAGTTTTTCAAAGCTGCGACTTTAATCAGAGGAGCAGTGCAGCAAGGAGGAGGTTAATTTTGGCCGTGCGAGGAGCAGACCTTCCCTTCAAACGGTTCGCTGCACCGGGGGAAATTGGCCGGCCTTGTGGCTTGCTCCGGTTCCAGGAGGGAAGTAGGGGAAGCAGCAAATGCCCCAACTTTAGCAGCTCCCCCCTCCGACAGGGCCCGAGGAGCCCACAGGGGCAGGCTTGGCCCCCGTGGGCAACTCTGGCTGCTGTGATGCCTTCTCAGCACCTCTGTCTGCCTGGCCCCTGCTCTTGAGAGATGCTGACAGGTCTCTGCTCTGTAGCAGGCTCTGTGGTTTGCCTTTGGGACCGGTGGCAGACTCAGAGTCAAGGGGATGCAAAATCAGCACAACGAGAAGAGCAAGGAGAGCGGAGGGGAGGCTGCCCTTGCTTTGATCGCTGGAAAGGTAAAGCAAAAATAGAGCTTAAAAACCCATCCAGGCAAAACAAGGCTGCAGTGCTGCTGATGGTTGTGTTCCCGTAAGCTCTGCTCTTCCCCTCCTTCTCCCCCGCTGAGGTCAGCCCTGGATGCACAAGTTTCCTCTGCTGGACAATGGGAAGCTGCTTCTTTTAGTAACCCCCTTTTCAAAGGGCCTCGAGCCCAAAACGAGCTGCATCTCTTTAATTATTTATTGGCATGGCTGCGCCGGCAGCTGGGTCCTGCTCTCCTGTGTTCAGTGGGGCTGGGCTTTTTAATCCCTTTAAAGCAAGCGAGTGGGGAAGGGGAGGTTCGACTTTTGCGCTCCCCAAGGCCTGCGGGCAGATCTGGGGAGGGGGAAGGAGCTGGTCCTTGGCAGCCATTTATCCAGGCAGCACTGAGTGCTCGCTGAGAGGGGTTTGAAATACGGTAGCTGCTTGTAATGAGCTGCTGGTGCCGGTGGATAAATCACCAGCACGATTTAATTATTTAACGCAAGCCAGTGCTGGGGACGCTGTTGCTTAATTGGAGGGGAATGCAATAGCCAGGAAGGACTAGAGCTGAGTCCAAACCTGGCCCGGTGCAGTGGGGAGACGCTGGGTTTCTGCAGCGTTTTGGGCAGCAGGGAGCTGAAGCAGAGGGGGTCGCGCTGCCTCAGTCCACACGAATCTGGGGCACTGGCCCGCTAGTGGCTCCAGCTTGCAGCCTCACCAGGGCACCCAGAGCTTCTGGCCCCCCATGGCACTTGGGTCTGTTGTGTTCCTGGTGTGCTCAGGTCTTATCCTCTATCCCAGCCTCTAGCCTGGCTCAGCGGCCAAGTGTCAAGGTCCTGTGGGGTGGGTTGATCCCTCCCCTGCCTGATCCTGCTTCCGGCTGGCTGATCCCATCATGTCCTTGGCTCCTGAGGAGCCGCTGTCTGTGGGAGGCTGTGTCTGCCATGAGACCCTTCCTCCTGGGAGCAGAGGGCATGGGGAGTGATCCACAGCTGGTTCAGTGGCACGGCTCTGCCATGCCTGTCTCTCCACCCGCCCCCTTCGAGTGGCACTTCAAGGGCTAGAAACTTGCTGGGCTCGGCTGTTTCCTCGTCCTCCCGGCAGGCAGCGTGAAGAATTGAACCACAGCCCAGGAGACCAGCCGGCTTCACACGGTTGATGCCTCCAGCAAAGTCAAACCAGCCGCTGCTTCTGCTGTCCTCTTTGTCCCCTTGAAGGAGGAATCCCCCCTCGAGACAGAGGAGCCTACATTGCCCAGGGCCTGGCCAGCTGCTGTGGCAGCTGATGGCTCTCCGGCTGCTTGGAGTTGGGTGAGGAGAATCCCAGAGCCTCTGGCAGGCTTGACCAGTTGTCGGCAGAGCCTCCTAAAACTGTTTGGAGCTGCTTAAAGTGCTGCCTCTTGGTGCGTAGGGTGTAGCCGTTCCCCAGCTGTATGAGCAAGGCAAGGGAGGAGGCTGTGTGCATTGGCCAGCCCTGGTCCTAACAGTACAGCTTGAGACATTGTGCTGCATTGCCTGTTGCACCTCTCTTCTTTTCCTTGATGACCACAGCAGTGTCTCCTCCAGTCACTCTCATACATCCTACTCAAGTTCCTCACTTTCTCCTTCCAGCGCTAAGTGTAAGAAATATGGCTCTGTTGTCCTGCTGTTGCATTTGTCTTCCCATCAGCTTTGTGTTTGTATTGAGACGTTTCTCTGAGAGCCAAGAGCTTCTCATGCTTGCTCTGCTGAGACCGCGGGTGGGCAAACCAGGCTGCCTCTTCCCCTGGGTAGGTTGTATTTTGCCACGTGCACTGGGTATCCCGGGGTTGGAGCTGCCGTAGCAGTCTGGCTGGTATGAGTTTGAAGCAACAGGAATCATGCTGAGAAGGTTGACTTGCAATTAGGCTCTGCTGCACTGGATGCTGTACAAACGCTAACACCATCACTGCTAATCCTGGCTCCTAAGAGACGCTTCAGGACAAAGATTAGAGGCCTTGAGAAGGGCCTCTAAATCACATCATCAGCCACTGGTGAGGCTATAAGGTAAGTGCTGTGCTGTATCCCGTGCGGGACGCAGGACCCTCAAGATGCAGAGCCTGAGTTTTGTGTTAGAGATCTCTGAATTGCGTAGCACTTCCCTGCTTCTCAATCCTGTATGCCCTACAGCTAGGAGCTTGCTGTAGCTCTTCTCCCAGAGGTTTTAGAGCATAGTGCTGTTACAGCTCATGAAAGACTGTGTGGGTGACTGGAGAGCCTGCCTCAGGCTGGGCTTTGTACTGGACCGATCTTCTGAGGGGAAGGACGGTTTTCCCGGCCCCTCTGCATTTTGGGGAGGGTTGGCACACCCCGTTTCCACTTGCCACCCTTAGGAAGGATGGTGTGGGCTTTAACGACTCCAATCCAGGGCAGAGATGTCGGAGCCTGAGGGACTGCTCTGTTTTATGTCACCGTGACCCCTCATCTTTTTTGTCTCTGTAGCCCATTGAAAAGCTGGTGGCTCTTCTGAACACCCTTGACAGATGGATCGATGAAACCCCGCCAGTGGATCAACCTTCTCGCTTTGGGAACAAAGCCTTCAGGACCTGGTACGCCAAACTAGACCAGGTGAGCATGTCTTTCACGTGTAGTGTTACACGCAGCTCCTACGGAAGGGCAGCGTGCCCAGCAGGGGTAGCAGAACGGCTCCGTCATTGTGTGGCAGCCAAGCAGCCTACAGAGGAATTGCTCGTATAAGCTGTGAAGGATCCATCTCTTGATATGCATTACTTACCCCTGATCTGGTGCTGTCCTCTCCTCTTATGAGAGCATACGGTCCATGTAAGTGCTCTTGGCTGGGTCTCCAAGTCCTGGATGGTCCATGAGGGCCCTCCAAGCCCAAGGAACTCCTTTGCTTTGTAACTGCCCGGTATGCCTGCTAGCTGATGGGTGACACACAAAATCAGAGGAAGGTTATGAAACTGCTCGACTTCCTTCAGCTCAGAGCACTTGCCCTGCATCAAGCTCTGGAGGTGGCACAGGCACAGTTCCAGCAGCAATGAGCTTGCAGGTGGTCTGCTGCTCTATTAAGGCTTTTGTCCTGGAGATGAATCAGTGGGTAACTGGGTTGTTGTACTTGGATGGTGAAGCTTTTTTTTCCTACAGGATGCGTGTGGCCTGGGTAAGTGCCAGGACAAGCTCTCCCTGAATCGCTCCATCTCTGGAGATGACTTCTTCAACAGGAGAACTTGCTCCTCTGTCATGCTGGCTCCGGCCATTGTAGGAGTGCACCATTGCAGCTCCCACTCTGCAGCAGTGTCTGAGCAGAGGGTGACTTGCTCCTGGGGACTGTGACAGATCTGCACTCACTCGAGGGAGTCTTTTGTGTCTTTCAGGAAGCAGAAAAGTTGGTGGCAACAGTGATCCCCAAGCATTTGGCTGACGCTGCACCAGAAGTGGCCGTGTACCTGAAGGAATCTGTGGGGAACTCCACCCGCATTGACTATGGCACAGGTACCTGGGCATGCATGCTGGCTGAGACTTGACTTCCTCAGGTAGTGACCCTTTGGAGCCTGGTGCTGTGTTTATTTAAATATGTTATTGCCACTGGTTTTTAGAGCCAGCTTGATACAAACACCTTCCTTCTAGGGCCTCCTCACCCCTATGTCCAGTGTGGGCTATGACTGAGAGAGCTGGGGCTGGGTGCAGGGCTGTGCTAGATCTATGACACCCTTTTCATGTCTCATCTGAGGAAATGTGAACCAAGCTGTGCAAGCCGTTCTGGGATAAGCTGTAGGAGCTGCTTTACCGCTTACAGCAGTCCTGCATGGCTGATCTGCAACAGGCGGTTTAGAGGGATAAAATATAATTACTGGAATTGGAACTAGAATGGGAACCGAGTTTGTGTTCAGTGGGAGGTGGCTTGAGGTCTGGTGCTCCCTAGAAGCGACATCACTGCTTACAGAGGGGCTTTGAAATCTGAAAGTAGAAGCATTTTGCACCTAAGGAGACACTGAATTGCGGGTTGGAGTAACTGCACTGGCTTCAGTTAGACTTAAATCCAGAATCATCTACGTGCTCTGCTCCTCTGTCTGGAGGATATGTGGTGTACTGAGGAGAGTGTCTTCACCAAAAGGCAGGAGAGCAAGACACGACTTTGGAGCTGGGCAGGGAGAAGGGGAGGATGTGGGTAAAAGGATCAAGAGCTGGAGGCTGAGCAGTGCTTGCCAGGAGAGCTGCAGCTCGCCGGCACCAGGGGGAGATGTTGTCTTTGGAAAGGGACCCACTGGCTGGGGTTTTGTCAACTCAGGGAAGGAAATTCAGCCTTTCCTCCCCTCCTGTATGTCCCAAGCCAGTGGCCCATGTCCTAGCTCACAGTGGCTTGACCGTAGGTTGCACTTTGTTCCTACACTGGGAGCTGCACTTCTTCCTAGCGTGGAGCTGCTGATCCTGTACCCTCCCTTCTTCTGTGGTCCCTTCCACTAAAAGACATTGCTCTGGTTTTGCTGGTTATTTCTTTTCCTTGCTGCTAGCTGGAGGACCAAGCTGCAGAGGCTCAGCCTGAGATCTCAGTACCTTCTGGGATGGACTGTTCCCGGCAGCGTCATGGGATCTGCATCCTTCCGACACAGATATTTTTGAAGCGGGAGGAAATCTGTTTACTTGCAGATGTGAGGTTCTCTTGCATCCCCCGAGGAAACAACTCTGCGGTGCTCCACTTCCCCGCTGTGCCAAGCTCCTGAGAAAGGCCCTGCCTTGCTCCCAGCACTCCCAGTGTTGGAGCTGTTTTTCCTCAAGAACTTATCTTTTTTTTTTTTTCAGAGTTAATGATCACCTTATGAATGTCTAGAAGGTATACTTTGGGTGGGTGCTGTGTGGGATGAAATATTGTCAGCTCATGTCATTAACAGGATGAGGTAGCACCTTAGGGACAGCTGGGTGGGGCTCTCGACACGGGGAATGTGACTGCTGTGATTTCTGAAGAGCCATTGTGGTGCCCACAGAAAGGTTGTCCTGGGGACCAGAGACACCAGAGTCACATCTCTTTATCTCTGTCAACTCCAGGGCACGAAGCTGCATTTGCAGCCTTTCTCTGCTGCCTCTGCAAAATCGGCGTGCTCAGAGTGGATGACCAGATGGCCATTGTCTTTAAAGTATTTAACAGGTGAGGTAATCGAAGGAGAAGGGCTGGAAGCATTGGGCTGTTTGGGGGCAGATCCCTGACAGTGTCCACTTCCAGCTGTCTGAGATGTGCGAGATGTGTGAGATGTGCCTGTTCTGTACACCAGACTCCTCCTGTAGTCTGGGCTGATTGTGCCTCCTTTCTTCCACTCATCCGCACCCATCTGGGAGGGAGAAATTGTAAGAAGAGCCGCCTCCTGGGGTGTGAGCTGGGCAAATCAAGGGCCTTCTACAAAGACGTGTACATAATTAGAGAATGTGAGTGCTGAAGGGCTTGCTGGCCTAGGGAAAAAGGGCAGAATGGGAAAACTGAAGACAAATTTAGACAAAATTAGGAGGCAGATGAACTTTTTAATGGACTATACGGTGACCCATTATAACTATCTCCAAAAGAGGTGATAGCACCTTGTCTGTTAGGGGCTGAGTGTCTTTCTGGAGAGTTACTTTAGTTGAGCACAAGTGACTGAGCTCCGCAGAGGTATGTGGGTGAAGCTCTGTGCTTTCTGATAGGAATATCTGATCAGAGGATCTAACATCTCTTCAGGCATTAAAAAAAAAAAAAAATCTATGAAACTGGCAGCCCTCCACTGCTCCTCTGGATGTGTTTCCAGCCCAGGAGGTAGGTAGCGATGAAACTGGTGTAATGGGTGTTTGGAGTCCAGTCCAGAAAAAAAAAAATCTATGAAACTGGCAGCCCTCCACTGCTCCTCTGGATGTGTTTCCAGCCCAGGAGGTAGAGTTGGTAGCGATGAAACTGGTGGAATGGGTGTTTGGAGTCCAGAGATCTAATCCCAGCTGTATCACTGTTTGGTGGCATGGAAACAATTTCCTTCAGTAGTACTTCCAGCTTTAATTTTCCACCTGAAAAGTGGAAGTAGCGGTTGCCGTAAGGTGGAAAGCTTTCTGAGCTCTTTTGGAAGTTGTTGAAGAGAGAGAGTAACAATGGGGGTGGGGAAAGATCTGCACCAATACAAGACACTGCAGATAAAGTAAACCCCTGCTATTTGCTTTCTTAGTGAATTTGGTGTTAAAAAAACCAAACCAAAACAAAACCAAAACCCCCAATTTTTAAAAGGTGCTGCTATTTGCTACTGTACCTACTGCCAGGCTGCTTTTTGTGGCAAAGGAGCTGAATATATATTCTATGTACTGTGCTGTATGTGGGGGTCCTGCTTGCAAGTGATGAAGTTGTGTCCTTCTCCAAACAGTCCTCATGTAAGTCCATGAAGACAGAAGAAGGCCTTCTCTTAACCCTTCCTTCTCTCTTTGGTCTCAGGTACCTAGAGGTGATGCGAAAACTTCAGAAGACCTACAGGATGGAACCTGCTGGCAGCCAGGGCGTGTGGGGCTTGGATGACTTCCAATTTCTACCTTTCATATGGGGCAGTTCCCAGCTGATAGGTACTAATAAAAATCTTCTCGTGTCCCAGCCTGCCCCCTGCCCCGTCTGTCTAGGTTGCAAAGATGATAGGGCTTGGGACTGACTTTTAAATTCAAATATGTCAAATTTGTGTATAATACAGCAGAATAGTTTGCTTGGGGCTTGGATTTTTTTTTTTTCTCAGCTTTCCAAATAAAGCTAGTTGCTTAGGCTGGGAGTTGGAAGGCTTCCTTGTGCTGTACATCTGTCTTTATTGCAATGGCTACAAGCTTTTTAAAAGGCGAGTCTTCTCTTTGGTGCTAGAAAACATATTTGCTGCCCTGGGGAGTCTACCAGGTGCTCTCACTGCTGAGGCACTGGAGTGGGAGATGATATGGAAGGGAGCAGCTCTGTGCTGACTTCTGAAGAGCTCTGATGGGAGGATCGTGTTTCTTCTGGAAGAGGGGCAGGACAAGACCTGATTGAACTTGGTCTCAGAAGGGGGGTGCTATACAGGTTACTTCCTATTGTCTCTTACTCTTTTTAGACCATCCAAATCTGGAGCCTCGACACTTTGTTGATGAGAAGGTGGTAAATGAAAACCATAAGGACTTCATGTTCCTGGAGTGCATCCTCTTCATTACAGAGGTGAGGACTGGAAGGTTTGTCCCACAGGGAAGTTCTCTTGACGTTAGATACTTGGCTCTGGCTGTGGTTTTCTCTTCCTCCTTTGCTTGCTTGTTTGCTCTCATAGAACTATGCGGATGAACTGTTGTTGCACGTCTGAGGTGCTCTCCTTGAATGAGTTGAGACAGGGATGTTGAGAGGAAAGTATAATTAAGCTAGATGGGCTGTGGATTGCAGTTGAAGGGAGCTGTAACAAGAGCAAACAAATAACCTTGGATCATCAGTTGGATCAGTCAGTGGGAACTTGAATGGAGAAGACTGGTGCCTGCAAGTGTGCTAGGAAGATGAAGTAGGAGCTGCAAAATGACTGGGCTTGCCAAGATAACCTCCCTTCCCTCCAGCCGTTGGGTGCTGTCTAGCATGCCCTGGGCCTCCCCTTGCTTAGGGCAGGCTCCCAAACCTCCGTGCAGCTTGGTCTCCTCCAGATTCTACCAAGAGAGTTGCCCATTAAATGCGCCTTATTTGCAAACGATCTAGAGCAGAGATGGTGCTGAGATTCACCCAGCTGGCAACGCTTTCAGAACCATGTTTCTGCTCAAGCACTGTAGGGCCCTTGCGTGAGGGACTGGTGATATTCAGCTTGTTGCCAACCGTGGGCAGTGTTTCTCAGTGAGGGAGCTCATGGCTTTCTGCCCTCAGCTGCAGTGGATGGCCTGGCTGTGTTTCCACCGTCCCCCTTGCTGCACGGTCTGGGCAGGGAGAGCAAGAACCACACGCTCTGTTGTGGTGAGGGATTTCTTGTCTCTGGCAAGAGAGAGTTGATGGGATTAATTTTGAAGGACAGAGTGCGGTTCTTCCCCTTTGTTCTGTTTGCTTTTCCCCCCCTCCTCACCTCTCTAATTTAGTGATTAGATGAGAAGGGAGGTTACAGAATATGAACTTAGCCTTTCATGTAGGAAATTTTCATAGGAGCCTTTGGCCCAAACCCCAGGAGGTGCTGCGTCAAGTCCTGCCAAATCTAGTAGGGTTTGTTGGTACTTAGCACCCCACAGGGTTTAACCCTTAATGCAGAGATAAATCATGCCACAGGTAGTAAACAGGAGCTGGCAGAAGAGATCAAGATGAGGACAGGAAAGCAGGAGCCAAGATGCTCTAAGATTTAGTTTAATTTGGGCCTCTCTAATATCCAGACAGTGCACTAACCTGTTAAAAACATAAAAACATACATCTCTTGACATGTGTGTAGAAAATTCTGCAGCGCGCAGATGACACATGAACTTTAAAATACACAGCACCATACTGCTTCTGCAGGTCACTCTGCTTTTGCCTGCAGAAAGTTAGCTTTGTACTAGGCTTTTAAAATAAGTGTTTTCACTTCTTTTTCCGCACATTTGTTGAGAATCATGGAATTCAGTGTTTCTGCTGTGTTCCTCAGTGCCACCTGGTGGCAAGGAGCCCTCCTCTCGGGCCCTCCTGGCGTGAGCCGCTAAGGGATGGCAACAACTTGGATTATCAAATGCATGGTGTTTTCAGTCCATCTTCATGCAGGCACTGTTTCCTTTTTCTAAAGATTTTGCTTTTAAAATTTGTTTTTTCTCTCCAAAATGCCTGGGAAGGCTGTTACTGCCACTAGGGGGGGCTGAGACAGCCTCGAGTGCCCTCCAAATGCTTTCTGTCCAAAATCAACAACAAAACAAAATAGCAGGGAAAAGCATAGAAGGGATTAGAGACTTTAATAAATGAACGATATTATTTTCTTCTGAGCTTGTCAGCTGGAAACAGCTCTCCTTTAAAGGTGTTAAACACGTAGCAAACACCACAACAGTTCCCATAGTGGGTCTGGTATGTCTTACCGACATGAGAGCAGGTTTTGTTTCAGCAAGCTACAACCGAGGTAGGTTGTTTTCTTTCAACTGAGAGAATATTCTCTTGAGCAGATATTTTTCTCAGCCCCTGGGTGACGTTTCAGGGATATGAATATACACTGTCGTGGCGTTTGCCACGTGTATATTTAAACCTCAGGCTCTTAAAGTAGCAGCGAGATGATGTCCGGGCTGAACCCACCAAGGCATCCTCCTTACAGCAGCACCACCCTGCACGGCGCACAGGCACGGCAGCGAGCCTTGCATAAGCTGGCCTGCTGTTGGGAAATCTGCGGGGTGGTTTTGGACCTGAACACGTGGTTCTTGAATAGGGTGAGGTTTACGGAGCCGGCTGGGACTTGAGCTATCCCCCTGCTGCTGCCTTGCCTGCCAAAGTGTGCTGCGGGGTGTGTGTGGTACCCGTAGGTGTGAGGATGAGGAGGGTTTGGGAGCATCTCTGCGGTGCCTGCCGCTCTGGGGGCTGTGGATGGCAGCGACGGCAGGGCTGTGTGTGTTTGTGCAGAAGAGGGGTGCTGGGTACTCCCCGGCTGTTGCAGTGGATCAGTTGAGATCGCCCAGATGCTCCTCTAAGGGCCCGGGGCAGGCAGCAGGAATTTCAGCTTCAATCTGGCTTCTAAATTTGGAGGTTTGGGAAGGGAGGGCTCGGGTTTCGGCTGGAAGGGAAGGAGCTGACAGGAAAGCACGGCCTCAGCCGTCCCCCTCCCCCCGGCACTGACAGAGGAACCATTTACAAAAGGCCGATTCTCTTGGGAACCGAGAGGCAGGAACGCCGCGTCTGTGAGTAATTTCCTGCTCAATATGGCTGCTCTGACTCACTCCGTTCCCCTGGGGTCACTGCGGGACTGCAGCGCACTCGCCGCCTCTCTGCTCTGCCTCTCCGTTCCCCTGGGGTCCCGGCGGGACTGCAGGGCACTCGCCGCCTCTTGCTCTCCCCCCCCGGTCTTCGCCCTTTGTGGCTAGAAGGAGATGATTTTTTTTGTCGTCCCCCCCCCCCCCCACCTTATTTTTCCCTCCCCAGTTTGAAACCGTAGCCAAGCTGTCCCTCGGCCTCTCGCTCTCCCCCCCCACGGCGCTCCCTCTTCCCCCTTTGTGGCTAGAAGGAGATGATTTTTTTTGTCGTCCCCCCCCTTGTCCACCTTATTTTTCCCTCCCCAGTTTGAAACCGTAGCCAAGCTGTCCCTCGCCCTGGGAGAGGAGGGCCGCGGTGGCGGCCGTGCCAGGCGCTCACGCAGCCCCCGGCGGG